TGTGAAATGGTATTGAAATATCTCTCTTGCAGATCAGAATCAGAATCGGTTTTACCGAACAGATGTGCTGTTGTCCTTGTATTACTATTTGAATGAATCTGACTATGTGAGGCTATTCCATATTTTATATGGTATAAATGGTAATTTTGCCAATGAAACAGTGTATATATTATTTTGATTCTTTTCTGTTGTTCAATTATGTAAATCTTAGTGCTGTTTCCTATTTAAAAGATGTCCTTCCTGCGCTCAGTATGAGCCTGATGAAGTGAAACGCGTTGCTCTGCTCTATTAAATCTTGATCCTCTTTCAAAGTCCTGTCTTGTGTGTGGTATGTAGCCACAACATATGTGTTTTTTTTTTTACATAGTTACTACCAGTACAATATTTACTGCTAGTGAGTTGTACATGCAACAGTCTGCATACAGTATGCAATTCACTATTGCAAAAATAAATTGAACTCATGGGAATAATTAAGTCTGTATCTATAGATGTCATTTAACAGCCATAATTCAATCTAAATGGAAGCATCTAACTGGATTATTTTAATATTGCCTGTAACTTTAATACAGACTGAGTTAGGCTACTTAATGTTTCCAACTGCCCAGCATCCAGTACAGACACTTGTAGGCTGTTTTTGTTTCATAATAATCATTATATGGAAAAATAATTTGTTTGAATTTCTGTCATTAAAAAATATTTCGTTTTCTCTTTTGTAGGCCTAATGGTAAAAAAGAGCAAGAGAGAGAGAGAGAGAAATTCCAACAGACTCCCTGCAATGATGCTAACTGGCATGTCATTCAACACAATGTTGCTCACCTTTTTCATTGGGACGGGTAAGGGATAAAGTTATGGGGAGACAGAGCTGCTGCTTCTGACTCATCTGTTGTTGAGTCTGGTAAAAGAGGCAGGGACAACTGATTTAATATGAATATCTTGCTAAACATTTACCTGCACTGTCTTAATGAAGCTATTAATGTTGAGGAAGTGAAGAAAGCTATTGCTACCCTGAAAGTGGGAAAAGGCTTCAGGATCTGATGAACTGACAAATGAAATACTGAAATGTCCCTTGTTTACAAAGCTCTTCTATGTTTTATTGAATTTTTGTTTTGAAAATGGGACTATTCCGTCAATATGTTACAAATCTATTGTTAGCCCAATACCGAAATCTTTGAAAAATGACCCTAGGATACCTTCAAATTACCGTGGCATTAGTCTATTGAGTACTGCATATAAATTGTATACCTCCATCCTTAACAATAGGGTCATGGCCTATCTGGAAGAAAATAATTGTTTAGTGGAAGAGCAGAATGGTTTCAGAAAGGCTAGAGCCTGTATTGATCATGTATACTCTGTTACTGCTGTAGTTAGAAGTAGGATAATGCAAAACAAACCATCATTTGCTTGTTATATAGATTTCCAAAAAGCTTTTGATTTTGTCAACAGAGACCTACTAGTCTATCGTCTTCTTGAAGAAGGAATAGGAGGAAAATTCTACTGGGCCATACAGTCATTATACAAAGACCCTCAGGCCTGTGTTAAAGTTAATGAATACTGCTCAGGCTGGTTCCCTACACCATCTGGGGTCAAGCAAGGCGACTGTCTTTCTCCCACTCTGTTTGCTATATTTATTAACAATTTAGCTAAGGAAATAAAATATTTAGGACTGGGTCTAAATTATGACAGTAGTAATGAATTGGACATGTTACTGTATGCAGATGATATAATCCTGGTAGCTGAAAATGAAAAAGATCTGCAAAAAATGTTAGAATGTGCAGAGAGTTGGTGTAAAAAAAAAAAGGAGACTCACAGTTAATCACAGTAAAACTCAGATCATGCATTACAGACATACAGGGATTAGAAGGAGCAATTTTCAGTTTTATTTTGGAGATCAAAAGTTAGAGTATGCTGCAAATTATAAATACTTGGGTTTTATTTTGGATGAACATTTAAACTTTGAACATGGAACAACTGTCTTGGCTGAATCTGCAAGTAGGGCACTTGGTGGTATAATAGCAAAAAAGAAACAGCTGGGAGAACTGGGATATGTTACCTACTCAAAATTATTTCATACATGTGTTTGACCTGTTATGGACTATATGGCAGGGGTGTGGAGCTCAAAGGTAAGAGTGAAAGGGAAAATGGTACAGAATAGAGCAGTACGGTATTTTCTAGGAGTCCATAAATTCACCCCTGCCTTGGCAATAACTGGAGATATGGGATGGGAGCCATGCAAAGTGAGATGGAAAGATAGCATGCTAGCTCTATGGAACAGATTACTAAAAATGCCAGAGAGTCCAGTTGCTAGGAAAATATTCAACTGAGATGTGACTGTAAAGGGTGCATGGGCAAGTGAGATGGACGATATATTTAGAGAAATTGGAGCATCTGACCTTTATCAAAATGTACATACTGTAAACATCTCCTTGGCGAAGGAAGTTTTGTCTAACACATTTCACAGTAAATGGTCACAGGACATACTATATAAACCAAAATTAAGAACTTTTTGTGTGATAAAAAGTTTTTATGGAAATGAAAAATGTTTGTGCTCCATTGTCTAAGAGACAAATATCACTATGCACCCAACTCCGCTCTGGGATCTTGCCCCTGCTCCTTGAGACTGGACGTTACTGGGCGTTTGTGTTTTATTGTCACTTGTATCATGAGTTGCGCCAAAAGTTATTTGATAAGTGTAAAAATATTGATTTGATGTGGTTGAGTGATGCAGAGAGACTAAAATGGATTTTTGACTATAAGGTATTTGCACTTGCTGAATATTTAGATAAAGTTTGGGACAAACTAGTCTCGCTCACCAGACCTTTCTCAAGAAAAGAAAGGTCTGGTTGGGCCGACTCTCACTTTAAGATTGGAGAAAAAAATGCCCCGGCTGCTTGTATTTCTTTCAACCAATCACAGTCGTTCTGGGCGGTGCCACAGCAACGGTGCGCTTGCAAAAATATTGCCGGGGGGAAACAGGTTTTGGTGTAACATGCCCACAAAAATATCACCTACAGGACATGAACCATGGCAGAAAAATGGCTACATCCCCGCAAGATCAAACACCGCAAAAGTTAGTAAAGGACGTTTGTCGACTATGACAACAGGAGGTGGCAGGGCGGGACTTCAGCGGGTGGCTCGTTCCCCCCAATGAGAGGCTGATCTATGCAGCGAACTTCCGCCCACTCAGACTAGGGACAAACAAACAAAAAGGACATAGATGATGTATTTATTCTGTTTTCCAGGTGGGCACTATGTGGAATTGTTAATCTATTTTGGTGTGCAGTGTGTAGCTTTCAAACCATAACAAGTGAATGTGATAGTCAATTATTGTTTATGGTGTCTTATAATCCCTTAAGGGATGGGTCTTTGGACAGGACATGGAAATAAAAAATATTCATTCATTCATTCATTCATTCATTCATTCATACAGCAGCACATTTTAATTAGCACTGACATTGCAACATAGTTTGGTTTATGTGTGGGTGGAGATAGCACTCAAATGTTGGGGATAATGCTCCACCATCCATTTGCAATTTGCCGTTTAAGAAGAAAAGAAGAAGAGGTGGTTGGAAAAATAATCTGTTGTCACTTCTGGTAGATGCAAAACAGATGTGCGCAATTTGAGATAAATCTATCCTGTTGAAATTAGTACACCATGCAACTAGTTTGTAGTGTACTAATGTACTACATTGAAATGTAATAATGAAAGTATGTGATTTGAGACACACTCTTGGTCTCTACATAGTTCTGGATATCTTCACTGAGTTTCATCAAGATGGCTCCAAGACAATGTAATCAGTAGCGTATTTCCTTCTAAGCCCCGCCCTTTGCAAAGACTTTCCCATTTTCTGCATATAAAATAGTCCATCCTGATGGCCTCACTTGTCCAAGAAGCTTTTTTGTATAACACATTGAGTTGTCCATGTGTGTCAAATTTCTAATCAATCAGACTCATGATGCGGCCTGTCCTTTTTTTTGTTTTCCTTTTTTTTCTCTTTTTTGGGGCTCACAATTTTAGTGCCACCATCAGGCTGATCAGAATCAAATTTCAAATTTCCAGTTATGGTGCAGAGTTCCATGTCTCTAGCTCATGCAAACTCACAGTAAATTTAGCAAAAGAATGATATAGCATATGATGCACCCATAATCATGATACTTCTACTTCTTGGTCAATACCTGGCCCCAGAGCATGTGTACCAAATTTGGTGATATTCTTTATGAGGTTACACATGTGTGGTACTTGTGGCGCTCTTTATGGGTAAGACGCAATATGCTTTGATACACCTCTTCCCCAACATGTAAAGAAGATATTTACCAAGATTTAAGATGACTGGTCAAATTGTTAATGTGTTACGGCCATTTTTGTGTAAGCCAGGTTTTTTGGACTGATCTTGCACATTTATAATAGAGATGTAACTGGAAGGTTTCTTCTGGGCTGGATGTGGCCCACAGGCCGGCATTTGAATAGGCTTCCTTTACTAGGTTGACCAGGACCAGAGCCTATCATCACTGCAAATCTGTATCGGACAAAAATACCCCAAAAATGAGAAATGATTCATTAAATCAAGGCTTTTTTATAGTTTATGTATAGTTTTTATAGTTTCTGTAAAATGAACATATCATTTTGTTAAAGATTGCTATTGACTAAAGCAAAGAAGAAGCATTGGCAGTGATGGGTTTGCCTTCTCGAGGGCTTATTCAAATTTGTATTCAAATATGTGTGTTCTTCTTTGAACACAGGCGTATTTCTGTGATGGCAAGTTGAATCACTCGCAAGGGCCTGTTCTCTGCTCTTGAGACAGGTTCTGGAGGCTCAATCCCCTCTCTAGCTCTACACCATTAACAGGACTACCGGGCGTAGGGCCCCTGAACAAGCTGCTGTATCATACAAACTGGGAGTGAGACAAACTGGGAGTGTGACAGTTGGTTGTTGGGTGTCTTGCTCTGAACCAGTGTTTGACAGAAGTCTGTCTGACATCAGTTCTTCTCCTCTGTGTTTGCAGGTGATGAGCATCCTGAGTAACCCCAGCGGAGTTTCCTCACAGCCACAGCACGACTTCTCTATCTCACCGCTCCACAGTGCCTTGGACTCCTCTCCATCCAGTGTCATCTCAGCAAGCTGCAGCCAGCGTTCAGCTGAGGCCTCCATTAAGACAGTGGACAGCCTCCCGTCATCCCAATCCTACTGCCCCCCCACATACAGCACCACTAGCTACAGCATGGACCCAGCTGTGGCTGCTGCCGGCTACCAGTACAGTCAGTATGGCCAGAGTGAGTTCTGAGTCCTATTATTTCAGACTAAAACAAACTGTCTTTTATGACTCCCTGTCACAAACTGGTAGAGCACAGTCCCTTAAGCCCCATTTCCACCAAACAATTTTGGTATGGTACCTTTAGAACCAAAAGTAACGCTTCAGACATGGTATCTAGACCCTAGCATTTCCACTGCAAACAGTGCCCTTAAATGTGGGCGGGATTGTTGTCACTCACTGCTGTGTCCAGCACTCACAACATTTCCTCATTACCTGTGACACAGAGGGAAGTCTGCACCTCATTTGTTATCCACAGAACAAGGCTTTTGTGCATTTAGTCCTTCTCAGGCTAACTAGGGGGTTTAATGCTGCCCGGAGAAACGGTGCTCTGCGACGCTGTTTTTTTCTCCGAGTGAGGATTAGAATGTATGCAGTACATATAATCTGGCCGAAATTAACATATATAAACACTTAAGGATTCACTCATTACTAAAAGTGTATGTCATATAAAAACTGAAGTAATGGTCAGAGTTGTCATATGGAATACTTAAGGTGTTGATTGATTCACGTTATCACCTCCTGCATTGTGTAATATTACAAGTTGATGTTCCACCTTAAAAGTTGCCGGCGGTCAGCCCAGTAAATTAAGTTGCTTTTTCTCCGACTATATACAACAATCAGTTCTGCAGTGAAAATTTCCCACCTCTGAAGATCAGGGTACAGTGTAATACTGTTGTCTGGCCCACAGTGTCTGAAGCTCTTTTGGAACCACACCAGGAGAAAATATTTACTATAACACTGCTATTCAGCTGGGTTTAATGGTTGAGGGCCAGCTTTACCTTGGTGCCCTAAAATACCCTTTGGGTATTCAACCATGTGTAGGAACACAACCTACACAAAGGGGTTAAATGTAGCAGGGCACTGTGTGTACAGTTTAGGATGTTTCATTCATTTATTCATCTTCTAACCGCTTCATCCTCTTGAGGGTCGCGGGGGGGCTGGAGCCTATCCCAGCTGACATTGGGCGAGAAGCAGGGTACACCCTGGACAGGTCGCCAGACTATCGCAGGGCTGACACATAGAGACAAACAACCATTCACGCTCACATTCACACCTACGGACAATTTAGAGTTATCAATTAACCTAGTCCCCAATCTGCATGTCTTTGGACTGTGGGAGGAAGCCGGAGTGCCCGGAAAGAACCCACGCTGACACGGGGAGAACATGCAAACTCCGCACAGAAGGGCTCCCACACCCGGGATCGAACCGGCAACCCTCTTGCTGTGAGGCGAGAGTGCTAACCACCTCACCACCGTACCGCCCAGTTTAGGATGTTTGACAGTGAAAAAAATATAACAAGCAAAGTTAGCAACCAAAGTTAGCCTCCATCAGAACCTGACCGGGCTGACTAAAGGTGGACTATTAAAGGATAACTTTGGCACTTTTCAACCTGGATCCTATTTCCCTGTGAAAATTGGTCAAAGAGACTGATGTGAACTACAATTTTTGAAACTGGTCCAGTATTGAGGGAGCTGCAGCGGACGGGAGCCACATAACAGGCTGTAATGAGGCAATTGAACTCCATCATTGTATGTCCATTAAAAGTGGTTATTTTCACCACATACAGGCTCAGTATGTTTTAAGTGTTTGAAGTGTTTCTTTACCGTTCACTTTATCTGGTTTGTTTGTTATTTCCTTGTTAAGCAGAAGTCTCCTCCTTAAATATCATATCACAAGATGTCACTTGTTGCAGGAGAACAACAGTGGAAATGTGTGAGATCTTTAGAGATTATAATAACCCGAGTAGTGTACAGTAAACGCACCGGATTTCGGTTATGTGGATGAGGCTGTTGAATTTGCCCGTTGCCTGTATTTATGTGAGCCGGAGTATATGAAAGGAAGCTGAAGGTGTGTCTGTGGGTGAATAATGCCAGTGTTGTAAAGAGTGATGCAGGTTTGCGCATGTCCGACCTACAAACAAAACAAAACACTTAGGACAGCTGTCACAGAATATCTTTGTCAGATATGGACACACTGAAGTTTTGGCTAGCTGTGCTACAAATGGATCCTAACGCCAGGGCCACACTGCCAGCGAAGTGCTGCGAAGCGCAGTGCACCGAAATTCTCGTGCGAGCCCGTTCACACCAGACGCGCATTTCTCCACGCCGGTCGACAAGCGCTTCTGCTCCCTGCTGTTGTCTCTGTCACATTTGGGGCTGTTTTTCCATCATGGGTATCTCTCTCTGTTTGCATGTGTGCCCCAACCCCCACCCCCTGTAGCCGGCCCACACTCACTCACTCTCTCTCTCTCTCTCTCTCTCTCTCTCTCTCTCTCTCTTTCTTGTGTGTGTGTGTGTGTGTGTGTGTGTGTGTGTGTGTGAGTGTGTGTGTGTGTGTGTGTGTGTGTTCATCTCTCTCGTGCTCTGTTTAGATACCACTGACTAATATGTATAGCCTATATTCCTGCCCGGCTTGATACATTCGCTCGCGGCTCGCTCAGAAAATAGACCAGATGCCGAAACACTCGCTGCAGCACCGGCCATGGAGCTGCGTGGCACGGCCGGTGTGGATGACACAATCAGTTAACATGGGCGCCAAAAGGAAACTGGCTTCACTTCTCGGCACTTCGAGGCTATTCGCAGCACTTCCGCGTCCAATGTGGCCCTGGCGTCACTCTCCTGTCCGTACACTGCGCATGCAGACCTGTGGGTCTGCAGTGACCACAGGAATGACTAGTACCTGTCAAAGAGGAGAAGAAATACAGCGCTAATTTTCCTAAGGAAAACCACTAGGTACAGCAAGGACCTAGCTGTGGCTGCTGCCGGCTACCAGTACAGTCAGTATGGCCAGAGTGAGTCCTGAGTCCTGTTAGTTCATACTAAGCAAACAAAAGGCAACATTTTGATATGTCTTTATGAAACCGCGTTCAAGAGTGGATTTACCTGCTGCAGATGAATGGAGGTAGGCTAATGCTATTAGCTGAGGTTATTATGTTGACATTGCATATTGTTACACTTGAAAGCACAGCAGGATAACGGCAAAAACAATCAATCAATAAATGATTAGGAGGTGCAAAATATCATCTGATTCTGCAATGATTATAAAATAAATCTGTATCGATTGATTACCCATTTTCATCAGCTGACACTATCTCTGCTACAGTGTGTGTGTGTGCGTGTGGAGAAAATGTAATTATGCTTTGGTATTATACAACCTGTAATATATGTTTATGATATTTTATGCCTACATTTGCCCTTCCTTTACATCAAGTTGATATCTACTGGCTATGAATGACAGTGGAAATGTTGGTTTTAGTACAAGCCCCTATACACGGTCTTTTCTAATAAGATAATCATTTGTTATTCCCACAGCAGAGAAATTTCTAGTGTTACATCAGCAAAGAGAATAGTGTAATAACAAGAAGCATCAGCAAGATGTAATGAATATGTAAACAGTAAAATAAAAATCTCTGCTGCCTTTTTTCTCTCTCTCTCCTTGTCCTCTCTTCATGCAAATACGGGCAGGGACAGAATTCAAAGGCCTGAGCCACATTGTTAAAATCAGGTAAATAATTATCCATGATACTGAAAATCTTTTAGACAACATTGAATGACATTTTCTATGAACTACTCCGGTTATAGACCCTGTTAGGGCCGACAACACAATGACGTTAGTTTGTTAGCTGGAGGCAAAACATGACTCGCCACCACAGGGCTGTAGGCTATATTGGAGTCTTAATATGTCGTCTTGTTGTGTTATTGGGTCCCAAAATAGGAGTCATGTCTCAAAACCTAAATTTTATCACATACCAGCCACCACTGCCTGTCAACAAAAACAAAGACAACTATGGTAAAATGCAATAAGATGAAAGGACTGGATGGAGGCAAACATCAAAAATGCTCTCATGTGCAGCGCACACTTCATATCAGGTCAGGGAAAAAGTATTTACTGTTGCAGGGATGAGTAACGTAATGTGTATTAAGGGTTATCATGTCCACCTGATCAGAATCAGAAATTGAGGAGGTATTAAGAAGAATACTGGACTTCTCCATAATGCTAACTTCTTAGGGCATTAGCTAAAGTTAGCTTCGATAGCAAAACAAACTGGAGGAAATCGTTCAAGTGTTGTCGTCCTTTTTAAGACTGGCATAGTAATCAACCACATAGCTGGCCATCCCACATTCAGCAATCCTGTCCAAACTACAACGATAGCCCTGTTGGTCAAAGAAACGGAGCATTATATTTCTGTATGAATTACAAGCGGTTAAGTTAATCACACATTCACTCCGCTTGGCGCTCTGCTGCTCAGTGTCCCCAGCCAGAGTGTCAAGAGAGTGCTTTGTCACTCCAAGAGTGCAGTGCTCCGGATAACCGAACGATACATGGCAGGCTTTGTGCCCTCATCTGATGAATAGTTAGTTTTGGTATATGTATGTATGTATGTACGTATGTGTATGCTTGTTGGTGTTTTTTCCTTTTTAACATTTGTAATCATTTATTTGTTTTTAACCGACTCTGTATGTTTTAATATGCACTGTCGCTCTCCGCAAATGAAGTTCCTAACAGAAAAAAAAGTTCTTTGAGTTGAGTTGATTCCAACAGCTTTACAAATTTACAAACAGTCCAGTTGAGTATTTCTGAATGCACCACTTGTATTACCTTCCTCCACTGTCAAAAACAAGCCAAAAGAACTCTTGCCTTGCCTTCACTAAGCCCCGCCCACCAAAAAACATCATACTGTTTACTAACAGTGGAAGATCTCACTTATGTTTACACTGTTGTCTGACTGCAACAAGTGGCATCTTGTGATATTTCAGAAGGAGACTTCTGCTTAATGAGACAATAACAAGCACGATGGGTCAGGTGAAAGAAAAAGAGACACTTCAGACACTCATAATAACAATCTGAGCTGCTCTGTGGAATAACCACTTTTAATGGACGTACAGTGACAGTGTTCAGTTGCCCTGTGTGCTTCAACCTCTGGCTGCCAGCTGATGCCCGCTCCCTCCATACTGGACC